ATTAACGGAAGGCGTGAGCTCTGTAAATATCCCATTAACGGAAGGAGTGAGCTCTGTAAATATTCCCTTAATGGAAGGCGTGAGCTCTGTAAATATCCCCTTAACGGAAGGTGTGAGCTCTGTAAATATCCCCTTAACATCTCTCCAGTGCTCCAGGTTACTTTTACTGCCCTGGAGGAACCATTCCAGCTTCACTGACTTGCAGTGAAACCCAAAATTAGAGAAACTGGCAAAACTGATATGATACTAACAATATATATATTACCACTGAATTATGAAAATAAAACATGTTCGCTTATCAACCAACTTAATTGAAATTGTTTTTAAAAAAAAGGGGGAAACAAGTAATAAAAGAAATTTGCAAAAATGAAGTATGATGTTGGGATGGCAATGCCAAAAGTACAGAAACGAGGTAGGGATGAATACATAAAACTATACAAAATATCCGTACATGAGTAGATAGTAAATAATGAATCAAGCTTATGGTTATTAGCCACTGTAGGACTGTAAAGCTCTGTTCAGTTTAAATACTTTTATTCAAACCTGAATTCATGCAACTGACAGGAATTTAAAACTTAGTTGTGGATTAAAGTTATTTTTGGAAAGAGTTAGCTACTTATTTATGGTTTAGTGTCTTCATCCCTACCTTGTTTCTGTACTTTTTAATGTTGCCTTCCCTACATCATACTTAAAAGTTTGGATTTTTTTGTTATTAATTGTTACATAGTATACACGAGTGACTATGTGTCAAAAACAACTTGGATATATTTTCAACCCAATAGATGGTGCTACGGTACATTATCATTGATGTTTTTCACTTAAGTAAAAGATTTTTACAAATTTTGTCAAATAATTACAAGCATTTTTTTTTTATGAAAAGTTATGTCTTCATGCATTTGTCCTTCCCAATAAAATTCATCACAATTAATAAACGGAATGATCAGACATTTGACCAGGTAAGAATATTTCCTCGGGAACTAGTTTTTTGTTCTCATGGTTTAATCTGTAAGGTTTTATCAAGAATATGTTATGTTACGATCAGATCTACGTAACTCAAAATTCTAATCAAGGACCACTTACTGGGGGATGGCCAAATATGCTCAAAAAAAGTTGTCGTGAAGTACTAGAAAATAGATAAAAATTCTTTATGCGTATATTGTTAGTAGAATAAAATTACTTTTTAGAAAACATGCATAAAACATTTAATTTTTCAGAAGAAAATATTAATCGGCATTTACTGTCGCAAGCCTTCCCAGTATATAGAATAGGTTATGAATAATAGAAGGAAGACGTCTATTACCTATTTGTAATTATTTATGCATACATAATTTAGTGTGGTTATCTGTTTTATTAAATTTAACTGTCCGGATTGTTTTAATATACAATATCTTTAACTTTACAGATACTTTCAAGGTTTTGAAAATATTCTAGTTCTAAGAACCCACGAGTCAAAGGATGGTATGTTATAATAATACATCCACGAAATCCAGTGCCGACAAGGCTTTTCGCCTAATACCAGGTCTCATTAGGCCAGCTGAGATACAGTAGGCATAGCAGTTATCTAGGTGATATATGTTTCATGAACAACTGTTATGGTGTTAACCAGATTAAGCAAGTACATCAACACTGCTAAACCAGTAGACATCCTATATATATATATATATATTATTTTATTTATTTTTTAAGCCTTTTTGGGTTATTAAACAATTATTAGTTACTTGTTTGAATGTTAAACATTTAAGAGAACTTGACTTGTTATGAAATGCAGACAAAATTAATTGCAAGTAATAAACAACATGGTATTTTGACTAATAAACTTTAGTGAAGCCAGAACTTCCCCATGTCTGACCATCGATTGTTTTTATCTCTCGTCGTTGCGTGAATACCTTTTTAAGGCTGACAAAATAAGACAATTATCGTTTCTCACGAGTTAGACAAACTTCTTTTTGTGTAAAATCTTTTTTCCATAATTGTTTCAGAACAGAATTAATTCGAAAACTTTCTCTTCAAATCGTTTGTAGAGAGGAAAGTTCCGACCTCGTCTTGTAGACCTGGTTCGAATCAACACTGAAACTGCTGTGAAACAGACCAGTAAAAAAGCATTCAGAAAGCTCCCCAATGTCACCAGTGCTATAACAGCTCTGACAACTCTCAAAGGAGTTGGTCCAGCCACTGCTTCGGGTAAGTTTTATCACCAGTGGTGAACATTACTGGAAAATTTTTTTAATAAACACTATTGTGAGAAAAACCTTAAGGAAACTGCCTTTCATCTTCAAATTTAAATTTCCATCTTATGATGTATGATCACTTTCAACTTGAGGTATATTCATAAACGTGTTTGATTTTATACTTTATTTTGCTAGTTTTCATAGTCACCATTTCCAGCTATAGATGATTAAAAAAAAAACAATCAAAAACTGGCATATTGGTTACTTGTGACCTGACCTGTCACAATGGTGTAAGTACATCCCCACAATTGCAGGGAGGCCCAAACTAATTCAGAAATGAAAAGAATGTATAAAATAAAATCCCTAATCTGTAGCTTATCGCTAGTTCTTCTAAACTATCCACTAAATTCTGTCGTTGTTTTCTGCAGGAGTTGCGTATAATCTCGCACCACTTTATAATCTGTTCTGTCTAATGGTTTTTAAACCTTGCCTATAAATATCTTGAAATCAGTTTTTCAGACCACATGCTGTGAAGGTGATTAAAGGTTCTGAACCACATGCTGTATACTAATAAAATCATATTCTAAACAAATGTAAACCGATGTTTTGGTTTGGGCAGCAGAATGCAATAAAAAAACGCAAATTCAAACATTCTATTGCTAATTACGATAAATACGTGTTACGAGGTGGCAAAAATATTGGTTCCAGAATGTTCTTTGAGTAAAAACTTGTTGAACTGGAGTTAAGTTATTATTTTGACTTAAATATTGGTATTCATTGGTTGGGTAGGTTTGAATTCTCTAATAGTTTTACTACTTTGGGATTAAAAACATTGCATCAGTACTGGTTATAAAGAATGATGTCACAAGGTGGAGTTTCTAGATCAGAAAGATGAGTAAATAATATAAGGTAAACTTATAGGTATACAAGTATGCAGGCTACTGGCTAAAGTAACATGTTTTTTTGTTAGGTTTAAGTGATATTTTTCTTTAAATATCCACAATATGAGGCAAAACTACAAAAAATAATGCCCATGCAGTAAAGCTGGTATGTGTCTATATTCACGAAGCGACTGCTTAATTCATTGTAACAATTATTTATGCTACTGTTTCCTAACTTTATAAGCCCTTCAGTGCAAGGAAGCCATTCCAAGTTACTTCTTCCATTATGTGACAGTAGTTAACTTGAAGATAAAGTCTTGTCTGGTGCCTGTTTTTATTAATATGTACTGGTTTTGGGACGTTAACGCCTCATAACATAGTCACAGTTGTTTGTGAAGGACCCCGTTCTAATACTTTTATGAGAGGATAGAATGTGAAATAAATTTTCAGGCAACTTCTTTCTTGTACAGTTACGGTTCAAATATGACTCCCTTTTTTTGTATGTTCTTTTAATTCATTTTTCTTCTCTTATTTAGCTATTCTAACAGCAGCTTACCCAGAACAAGTTGCTTACATGGCCGATGAAAGTATGCTGTCCACTCCGGGTGTCGAGGCAATTGACTACACACTAGAGGAGTACCTGAACTATCACGAGCAGATTAAGACCTGCTGTGACCGGCTGAACAAGAAGAGTAAGTCACTGTTGACAGACTCGTGACAGCAAGGGTATAAATTGTGGTCATTCTCATCCAAGAACCACCAGATGTGTAAATTTTAAGATATATCACTAATACGTTTGTTCTAAACTATCATTACATACATAGAAACATGTGGAACTATACAGTTGCTACATGAACTGTGACAACAGGGAAACATTGTCATAGAGACTAATAACTGTGACGGTGTTGTAGACAGGAGTCAGCATGACAAAGTGTGCTTTCCTATACTAAATAAAGTTGTGTCCATGAAAGGTCATGCTGACTCGTGTCTACAACACCGTCACCGTTATTAGTCTCTATGACAATGTTTCCCTTAATTAAAGGCACCGTCTCTATGACAATGTTTCCCTTAATTAAAGGCACCTTTCTTTACTACATAAAGTTGTGTCCATGAAAGAGCACACTTTTGTGACGGTGTTGTTGACATGAGTCAGCATGACAAAGTGTGCTCTTTCATGGACACAACTTTATGTAGTAAAGAAAGGTGCCTTTAATTTTCTTGTGGATCTGGAATTTTAGAAACTGATAAATTACTGGGACAATTTTATGAAATTCAAACCACGCGAGTGATTTAATACATAGAAATAAACATACATGTACAGTGGTCTGTATATTTGGAGCCGTAAGGGCATAGATTTTGTACATTGAAAAAGTTGCTATGTTGGGAATAGGTGTCTATTTTTTGTATCTATTTATATAATTAGTGAAGTGTGTGTATTGTTTATATTATAGAAAAGCTTTATACTTTTGATTGTTAGATCCTGAAGGAAAGTGGACTCCTCACAAGGTGGAGCTTGCATTGTGGACACATTACTTGGCACGTGAGATGAACCCTTCACTCCTGGAAGAAATGCCCAAAGCAGAGTTAGATGACAGCCCTGCCACTCCGAATGGAAAATCAAACAACCACGAGAATGATGAACAAGCTTTAGCAGATGTCCCAGTGAAAGATCAGGATGCTAATTCTGAAGAGCCGGGAGAAGACAGTCGCGACTCCAAGATCTCGTCATCAGACACGGCTGGTACTGGGCTAGAGAAGTCAGAGGATTCCAACCTTGATAGTTCCTTGTTAAGTGATGGGATTGAGGAAAAGACCAACGAAACAGAACTAGGGGTACCCGAAGAACCAGCTAGCAAGAAACTGCGGGTTCAGTAGTAATACTCTCCATACGACAAATGTTGTTGTTGGTGGTATCAGTTTTAGTAATTACTTCACTTTTTACAGATTTTTATCACAATGGTGGAAGATTCTTGTAAAAAACTTAAAAATGACAACAACAAAAGCATAAAGATTAACCAGAGACTAGATCTATTTTTCTATCCTCCCTTTAAGTCTGAAATCATGAATGGTGTTTCTGGTGGGCAAGAAAAAAAAAAAAGCTAGGCACAAGAAGAATTTCATTTAATCATAAACTTGTGTAAAGTTTTCAAAAAGCAGTTTAGAAGGTTAAGCTCATTTAATTCCTATTATTTCCAAAAGCTGAAATTTATCATTTAATATGTGTAAAATGGTTATAATACATTGTGGACTAGTAAATTTTTTGAATGTCTGTGTTTGTTAGATGTCGCCACCGTAGTATACAGCTAAAAATAATTTGTAATAGTAATCTTTTCAATGGTAATTTGTGGATAACAGACCAAAAGTGTTCCTTACAAACAGGTAACTAGGGATTACCAGACACGTTAAATTATCAGTATCCCCCTTAACAACTAAAATGACACATTCCTTATTTTAATATTAACAGTGTTCTTCATGTCCTGGTTTTATATCCCATATTTTGTGCAGTGTTATTAAATATATCGAGTTTCTCAACTATGTGAATAAATCATGGGTAAAACTGTTACCTTGGTAACTCTAGATCAGTATCCTCTTGTATTACCATATGTATATGAGGGATAGTAAAGGATCTCAGGAACAACGGTGCTAGTCATTTCCTTGATCTTGTATCACCCTTCCTAACACTAAATCCAATGCTGACACCCAAGTTAAATATGTAGTAAAATAGTTTAAGCTTTCGGAGAGAGAGAGAAATCGGACATTCGTATAACCACACAACTTAATTCGATGAAACGGAAGAGGGGGAGATGTTACCCAGTTTATGTTAGGTTAACGGTTTTAAGGTGCGTGCAAAATCTACAATTACCTCATTCTCTTAACACCAAGGTGTTCAACACAATATTTTTCAATAAGTTTAATGTCTGTTCTCTTTCTAAGGATTTAATTGTAATCCATTTGTAACATACTACCCAAATCTAATTTTTTTATTAGAAGGTTTTAAACACAAATCAAAGTAAATGACTTACTAAGTTATTCCTAAACACCAAACTGTTATTTCAAATACTAACCATAACAAATACCTCTTTGTTGATAAACTTCATCTTTCACATCCGGCATGGCCAGGTGGTTAGGGCGCTCGACTCGTAATCTGGGGGTCGCGGGTACGAATCCACGTCACACCAAACATGCTCGCACTTTCAGCCGTTGAGGGCGTTATAATGTGATGGTAAATCCCACTATTCGTTGGTAAAAGAGTAGCCCAAGAGTTGGCGGTGGGTGGTGATGTCACTGCTAAATTAGGGACGGCTAGTGCAGATAGCCCTCGTGTAGTTTTGCACAAAATTCGTAACAAACAAACAAACATCTCCGGTAACTGGCTCTTCATTTTCCTGGAAGCAGATAAAGATGTAACCTACAAGGACAATCAATTGTTCAGGGAATAATAAAAACATCACCAAAATGGTTAATCGGTTGTGATTCACATCGAATGTGTGAATGTAATTTTCAAGTGAAGACCTGTAGAAAGAACACCACAACAAAAACTAGGTTTTCTTAGGTTCTACTTTTCTTTTTTGTCATTTTTACTTTTAGTAGCATGGGTTCTAATTTATTACGTTTCAATTGTAGGGTAGTTTTAACCTCTAATTATAGTAGTACATAAACTACCTGCCAGTCATAATGGGTCAGTATTCCTGTCCAAATCAAAGAATGAAAAGTTGATGGGTCAGGATTCCTGTCCATATCAAACAATGAAAAGTTGATGGGTCAGTATTCCTGTCCAAATCAAAGAATGAAAAGTTGATGGGTCAGTATTCCTGTCCAAATCAAAGAATGAAAAGTTGATGGGTCAGTATTCCTGTCCAAATCAAAGAATGAAAAGTTGATGGGTCAGTATTCCCGTCCAAATCAAAGAATGAAAAGTTGATGGGTCAGTATTCCCGTCCATATCAAACAATGAAAAGTTGATGGGTCAGGATTCCTGTCCAAATCAAAGAATGAAAGTTGATGGGTCAGGATTCCTGTCCATATCAAACAATGAAAAGTTGATGGGTCAGGATTCCTGTCCATATCAAACAATGAAAAGTTGATGGGTCAGGATTTCTGTCCATATCAAACAATGAAAGGTTGATGGGTCAGGATTTCTGTCCAAATCAAACAATGAAAAGTTGATGGGTCAGTATTTCTGTCCAAATCAAACAATGAAAAGTTGATGGGTCAGGATTCCTGTCCATATCAAACAATGAAAAGTTGATGGGTCAGGATTCCTGTCCAAATCAAACAATGAAAAGTTGATGGGTCAGGATTCCTGTCCATATCAAACAATGAAAAGTTATGTTACTAAACGTTTTTGGGTAGAACACAAATTAAACTTGCTAATTAGTACAAAGTCTATACTCACTCACTTGTTTACACTAAAGGAAAACCTCTGACACATGGCCACAGAAGGAGAGGGTTTGGCATGTTTCTGACATCTGTGATACTTGTAGGCACAGGAGGAAAAGGTTTGGCAAGTTTCTAAATCTGACACTTGTGATACTTGTAGCCAAGTTTAACATGTATATAACTGATGTTTGAGTGCACAGAGAGCAAAGATCTTAAATACAAAACTGTGATCGAAAGAAAGCTAACTATTGAATTGTTAAATTTAGTGCCCCTGGTAGCGCTGAAGGCATATAACAAAGTTCAGAGTTTGATCTTCATGGTGGACACACTACAAGTAGCCCATTGTGTAGATTTCTCTTAACAACAATCAGTACATGTTATAAATCAATTTGCCAGAAAACTGAAATTTATTGTTGTTATTATGAACTGAATCTGCAGTAGTGTACGTTGTGTCAACAACTGCTAAGTGGACGATACAAGAATGATGCTGGTTTTGTTGTACGTTGTGTCGACAACTGCTAGTGGATGATACAAGACTGGTGCTGGTTTTGTTGTACGTTGTGTCGACAACTGCTAGTGGACGATACAAGAATGATGCTGGTTTTGTTGTATGTTGTGTCGACAACTGCTAGTGGACGATACAAGAATGATGCTGGTTTTGTTGTACGTTGTGTCGACAACTGCTAGTGGACGATACAAGAATGATGCCGGTTTTGTTGTACGTTGTGTCGACAACTGCTAGTGGATGATACAAGACTGGTGCTGGTTTTGTTGCACGTTGTGTCAACAACTGCTTGAAGGTGATACAGTAATGACACTGTGTTTGTTGCACGTTGTGTCGACAACTGCTAGTGGACGATACAAGAATGATACTGGTTTTGTTGTAAGTTGTGTCGACAACTGCTAGTAGATGATACAAGAATGACACTGGTTTTGTTGCACGTTGTGTTGACAACTGCTAGTAGACGATACAAGAATGACACTGGTTTTGTTGTAAATTGTGTCGACAACTGCTAGTGGATGATACAAGAATGACCTGGTTTTGTTGTAAGTTGTGTCGACAACTGCTGGTAGATGATACAGTAATGATACTGGTTTTGTTGCAAGTTGTGCCATTGTTTTTTACATTCAATATTCGCACAGAGAATCCATTTTTCATCACCTATGACAATTCTGTCAAAAAATGGTTCACACGCCAGAAGAGACGAAGCAACGCTTACACGTTGGAAACGATGATCATCGGAGAGTTCGTAAGGCACCCAAACACCTTCTTTATGGAGTTTTCTCATATTCTTTATATGTTTATGAATTGTTTTTATGACTAACATGCAATTGCAGTGCCATTTCACGAGTTTGTTGCCTTGGGTTTAGATTCAACAAGCGTCTTCAGAGCATCAATTCCAACATGTCGGCCCCTGCCATCACAATTTTAAGGGCTAAAGTCACCTGAACGAAATTTGTTGAACCATCGTTGATACTTACGAACGTTTAAAACATTTTCATAAACTTCTTTGATATTTTTTGTGGCTACAGAGGCGTTGTATCCCTTCTTGTATTTAAACAGCATTACATGCCGAATGTGTGTCTCGTCGTGTGTAATCACCATAAGGGATTAGAGTATACTAAACTTTACATATTATATAGGCAGGCTACACTAATATGACGTTTAGACAGTTCGTTTAACTATACGTTATGTACGGTTTGGGGGGGGGGTTAATTAAAATGTTCCAAAACACGACATTAATTTCTTGACGACATAATATTTAAAACAAACTCAAGCTTCGGAAGCAAACGACTAACTTCACATTAAATATGTACTAAAAATAAATAAATAATTCTAAATGGGCGAGTTTCGTTCTTTATATAAACAGTTACCTACACTCGTCCATCTTCAACAGAAATGATATTGTTGCGTATCTGCTTGTTTGATAATTTCCGGTAAAAATTCTTTCGGAGTGACTTCAGCAATATAAGTCCCTTCTTGATTAAAACTAGTTTATCCTATGTCGTTACAAACTTTGTAATACACTTAATTTCCACAGTCACTTTAATCTTAATAACCTTTATAACACACGCTATAAATCACAATGATTCACACACTTTACTTACGGTGCCTACTGTTCGCTTGACTCAGTTATCTGCATATCTATCTATCGCTGGCTTATATACTAAAAAAAGAGGGCGTCTAGCAAACACTGGGACCTTCGCGAGGTTCCCCGATAAGTCATGATCCTTCTAGAAACTCCAGCTCGCATGACTTCCACTGTCGTAACAAGATTAAGAATTAAAATTGGACCTTGTAGAATGAATACCCTTCTTAACCACTTTCAAAGGCCACGAAGATTTGGAAATTCTAACAACAGTTTCCGTTTCTCCAGTCTGTTTAATGACATCGAGGGAAATAACCACATTCGTTAGTCAGTCGAAGAAGAGAAATGTTATTCTATTGAACAAAAATATTATTACTAAAGTTATAAGAGTGAAGATGGAGAGTGCTGCCGACTAACTGCCATCCTTCTAGACTTATCAGTTCAAAATTAGGGACTGCTATGCACAGATACCCTTTGTGCAGCTTTACGCGTGATTCTCAAATACACCATGGTTAAAGTTTTTGGTCATCACTAGATGGTTAAACTGAAAAAGTTTTATTTGTTTTAAGCACAAGGCTACGCAGTGGGCTATCTGTACTGTGACCATCATGAGTATCGAAACCCGGTTTTTAGCGTTATAAGCCTTCATATTTACCGCTGAACCACTGATGGACTAAACTGAAAATAGTAAACTAACATAATCTTTCAATTCTAAAAATGTGCTAATTTTAAGGTAAGCCCATTTTACGTTGTGAGGCTTAAATGATATTTTGACCCTTCAAGAAGGTCGTATTTTTATTAGTCCCATATATATATATACTTGTTTGATTTGCATTAAGCAAAAAACATGAACTAGCTTTATCTTTGCGATTTTGGTATCTTAACTCACTAGGCTAAAAAAATATGTATTTCATAACTGAGCGTTCATTATGCGTGTGTAAATGTAACATTTTATACAGTTCTTACTATATATATATATAAAACATTAATTACTGTAATTTTTGGAATAACATCTTTAAATGACGAAATAGAAATACCGTAAACAATATAATTTTTTACAAGTTACAGCTTTTACAGTAAGTAAGATTTTTTTAAGAACAGGCACAATGACATTACTATATTTGTACTTGCGAATTATCGCACTAGTGATCGAAATGTAGTGCCTGTT